TAAGGTTTTGTAGATGGCTATGGTGTGCTGGCTGCTAGAATTTATATTAGACTGAGACACAAAGGAATACACACTGGTGTGGTAATTTCTAGGCTTTCTGGAATATTCTACCGTAGTCTGACCCAGAGAGTTAGAGCAAGTTCATGGAACTTTTGCTTATGTATAAAGGGACTAGTCTGTCATACAGGCCATGAAGCAAATAGATCCAAGAAGTCCATGCAAGTCTAGAATATGTGGCAAGTCTATAGGTAGATTTCCACAGTTTCAGAAAATGAAGAAAGCGTCAGGGCACCTTTTAATTATAGATATTCTTTTTTATCATTAACTGTTTTTTTCCTCTAAAATATGTTCATTTCCAGAGACTAGTTGTTCGTCTATAAAGGGACGTGCTCTTGCCTCAAGCATCCCACATTACATCTCAAATCTCAAATCGAAGACCAGCAGTTGTGTTGAGATCACTTTCCCCCCAGATACTCAGCCTCGGACTATTCTGGAAGCTTTGCTATTGCAGCGAGGTGAATATTAAATCACTGTTTTATTGCTATAATCAGTGCATTTATAAAACATTCCCAATTAAATTGAACTGCCACACTATTTTGCTCTGCCATTGTTATTCCTTTATGGTGATTTGTATTGATTTTGAATGTAATTATTTTTAGAATACAATGGTTAATTATATCACATTTCTCTTGTTTTTGTTCGTTTCACATGGAGTTCTTTTTACTTATTTCCAGTATTAAACTGAGACTCAACACGTAACGCCGTGTGAAAACGTCCTACAGTTAAAAAAGGGGCGGTGAGGTAGCCTAATGGTTAAAGCGTTAGCTCGTCACGCCGAAGACCCGGGTTCGATCCCTTCATGGGTACAATGTGTGAAGCCCATTTCTGGTGTCCCCCGCGGTGATATTGCTGGAATATTGCTAAAAGCGGCGTAAAAGCCAATTCACTCACTCACTCCTGCAGTTGCAGTCCTCAACGGACATTATTTATGTTACAACCTCAACATTCCAATGCAATAAATACTGAATGAAACTATGAACAAAAACTGCCTTTCCAACTCAACACACATCAAACAATAATATGCGGTTTGAATCTAATGAAAACACCCCAGCATTTACAATCAACGCAGCCACTACTCTTCTGCATCCGTTCTCATGCCATTATTTTCGGTCATTATTCCTTAACCTGTTTAAATCTTCCCTTTAAAAATGTACTTCAGGGTGATATTTACCATGACGTAGGTTACGTTTTATGACCTGGGTTACGTTAAATGAACCGCTACATCTCTCTGAAGATGTTGACGTACCACAGCCCATTGCTGATCGAATCTTACGGTAGAGGTACCAGTATCCTTTGATTCAGCGTCAGCTGGATATTTATTATATCCCTGGATCATACGGTTCAAATGGACCGTCTCAAATTGGGGGATATGCCATATGTGGCGCTACGGGTCGGGTGCTGACATGGCCGCGATTAACATGCGGTCATCGCTGTCTGGAGTGAGTTAGTGGAAATGGTTTTACGCCGCTATCACCAACACTCCAGGAATATCTGAGGACACCATAATTCGGCTTTAACTCTCCTATCTCCGACTTAAATCTCGGCTTGTCAACTACATATGGGTTGTTGCTTGGTGTGTTGTTAAATGCAATCGGCAACATTTCTGCTATATGACGGCGGTCTGGAAATAATCGAGTCTGGACTAGACAACCCAGTGATTGACATCAAGAGTATCAATCTACGCAATTGGTGCAGGTGTATCACTGCGATGTAAAATAATATTCAACCGCACAACAGAAACTACCATGCACCTTTTCTACCTTTGAGCACCGTGATTTACCTTATCCTTTATTGTCATTCCCCTTGTATATGTGATACACATCAATAAATGAAATATTTATCAAACTGGACATATACCGAAAGTACTCACTCACTCTCTCATGCTCACTCAAATCCATCCCTTACCCCTCCCCGCTCTAAACCCCGACCAATTCCACTCACTCCTCCCAGACTCACTCGCGTTTATGACTCTAATTACATTACTGAGTACGAGCGCTTCAGCATGGATGTTGTACGACCCTGTAGTATCTACGATCACGTGTTCTCAAACGTGTATCTCGCAACAATTCAGTCACGTTTAATATGTGTAATGTTTTAAAACATGTCCGTTGTTTCCCTGTATGTGTGTCAACACTGCTATTGAAACCTGTTTTTCTCGTGGTTGGTTTATATGCCAATGGTTATTTTGAGAGCAGGAAGAGAGAGAGATAGCTATTTTATCTCCCTGCCTTATGGTGGCGGTGAACGACAAGTATTCACACTCTTGTCGAACAGACACTCTGCACACCTGTTAATGTGGAAGGGTTTGAGAGGATTTGTCACATTTAGGAACTTATTTAAGATAACAAAAAATCGAGTGTCGAGGGGTATGGATGTACGGGAGGAGCCGGCTGGGTAGTGAGGTGTGGTTAAAACGGGGTATGTAGAGAGGTGATAGAGTGGGAAGGGTAGAAGGAATTGGACTGGTGAGAGTGGGCTGGGTAGGATGTGGTGGGCAGAGAGGGGTAGCTTGAGTAGGGTAGTAGGGTAGGATGGGTAGGGAAAGTGTAAGTAGAGTGGAAGAGTGAGGTGAGAAGAGAGGTGTGGGTTGGATGAGTGGGTAGAATAGGGTGGTAGGGTAGACTGTATACAGAAGTGTGGATAGAGTGAGTGGGTAGAGTAGGGTGGTAGGGTAGACTGTATACAGAAGTGTGGGTAGAGTGAGTGGGTAGAGTAGGGTGGTAGGGTAGACTGTATACAGAAGTGTGGGTAGAGTGAGTGGGTAGAGTAGGGTGGCAAGGTAGACTGTATATGAAGTAGAGTGGGTAGAGTAGGTGGGTAGAAGTAGAAGTTGGTAGAGAAGTGGGTAGGGAGAGTGGGTAGAGTAGGGTGGTAAGGTAGACTGTATACAGAAGTGTGGGTAGAGTGAGTGTGAGGTGAGTAGAGAGGTGTGGATGGGATGAGTATAAAGGTGTGGATAGAGTGAGTGGGTAGAGTAGGGTGGTAAGGTAGACTGTATACAGAAGTGTGGGTAGAGTGAGTGTGAGGTGAGTAGAGAGGTGTGGATGGGATGAGTATAAAGGTGTGGATAGAGTGAGTGGGTAGAGTAGGGTGGTAAGGTAGACTGTATACAGAAGTGTGGGTAGAGTGAGTGTGAGGTGGGTAGAGAGGTGTGGATGGGATGAGTATAAAGGTGTGGATAGAGTGAGTGGGTAGAGTAGGGTGGTAAGGTAGACTGTATACAGAAGTGTGGGTAGAGTGAGTGGGTAGAGTAGGGTGGTAAGGTAGACTGTATACAGAAGTGTGGGTAGAGTGAGTGGGTAGAGTAGGGTGGTAAGGTAGACTGTATACAGAAGTGTTGGTAGAGTGAGTGGGTAGAGTAGGGTGGTAAGGTAGACTGACAGAAGTGTGGACAGAGTGAGTGTATACAGTGGGTGGGTAGAGAGATATGGAGTAGAGTGGGTAGGGAAGTGTTGGTATACAGAGTGGGTAGAGAGATATGGGTAGGGAAGTGTTGGTAGAGTGGGAGAGTGAGGTGAGGTGAAATGGGGTTTAACGTCGTGCTTGAGAATATTTCGCTCATATGACGACATACATGCGTGTGTATGTGTATGTGCGGCTGCTTGTACTAGCCCAGACTTAAGCTGGTTTTATAGTGCTAGCCTACTGAGATACCATGCCGCAGTTAAGCATGAATACCCCACTCAGACACATTATACTGACTCCGAACCGACCAGTCCTTGTACCCATTAATGCCGAGCGCCAGACAGGGACCAACAAGTACCATATTTTAACGTCTTTCGGTATGACGCGGTCGGGGATCGAACCCGCGACCTTCCGCTCTCCGGGCGGACGCTCTAACCACTACACCACGGAGGCGGTCCGGAGAGTGAGGCGAGTAGAGAAGGGTGGGTAGAGTAGGTAGTGATAGAAAGTCATTCTTCTATTGTGTCTAACGGAATGATCTATGTGTACATATACGTGTATATCACTTCTTAATGATACTACTACAACATTGCTGCTGTTGCGTCTGCTACTTCTACCACTACTACTACTGTCTTTTGTAATTATTATTACACATGGGTTTCAAGAGCCACATGTGCGTTGTCGCAACAGTCAGCCAAACAGGATCAGACTGCCAAGCTCGTTCACCTGACTAATTGCCAACGTTTATTGTTGTTCATACTTTCAATCACAAGTTTGCCTCGCACATACTCCATTATAAACATGTACATAGAATATTGCTGACTGCGGTGTTACACAGACATCATTACCACTACAGCGACCAACACAAGGGACTGTAAAGCCAGCTCACAAGCAATGTTTGTAATAAAACATTGCTAATCGCTGTCAAAAGGTTACTTAACGGTAGCTAAATGTCAAGATACGTCGACGTGTTCGGCTGATTTCCTCTTCCTGGTAATGGAATCTCATTTCAACATTCAGCCTAATCTGTAAGGAACTGCCAACGTGAATTAGGCAAAGGCGTCAGTTTCACCGAAACAGTGGAGCCCATCACACCGATGTTGACGAGTGTTGAGAGGAGGATTGTGCCCGCAACGTCCGGATTTAGTTTGCGACAGCGTCAACACAGACGAAACTGGGTGATGGGGTTCGTATGTACAGTTAAGTGCAATGGTAACCGCAAACCATCCGCACTGCAATTGACAATATTGTAGAACAGCATAGTAGTTTTCACCAAATAGTGCACAGCATGAGTAGACTACGTGAGACTGTGAGTGAAGTTGTGGGTGGGGGTTAGGGGGTGGGTGTTAGGGGAGTGGTGGGTGGGGGTGTTTGGTGCGTGGGGTTGGGTTTGGGGATTGGTTGAGGATATAATCTGTGACTGTTGGGCGTGGGGTAGTCTGTCTCACAGTCCCTGAACCACATTAATTTCCCTACTGCCAAGACCTCTCTGCTGTGCTAAAGCCCTAAATAAAGCAAGTCTAGATTTCCTCAGAATCTCTGGTCTCCCTAGGGCTCCTTTTCAATATAAATGGGCTTGTTTGTTACTATCAAAATTATATATATTCAGAGACTAAGCCTTAGTCTAGGCGTGGGGCGGTGGGGGTTGTTTGTGTGATGATGGGTGATAACTTGGGAATTTGGCTTTGGCTGTCATGGTTTGTGGGTGGAAAATAGGCACTTGATGTAGCAGTGTAGTTATACACATGGACAAAAGTATCGCAACATCAACGTTATCCCCCATATAACCATATATACCCATATCATAACTATATCATATATCATAACTATATTTGTATGATTATTTTGACCTACGGGAGCACTATACATGGGGTTTAGATATGCACGTGCCACAACCAAATGTGAGCATCACATGCAATACGTGTACCCATCTTTACGCATATATCAAATTTGAGGAAACTATTCTTACAGCTCAATAACTTGCAAATTGATTTCGTTGTTAATAAGAAAATATGGGCAACTGCTGAAAAAAGGGCAATTTATTGGTATGCGAAATGTCGGTGTTTCATTGAGGGCTACCGAAAGAGATGTTGGTTGTCACCCATCGACTGTCATCGCCGATTGGCCAGAGAACATCTGCAACCCAATGACGTTAAAGACCGCCCGCGTTCACTACTGGGGAGGATAGGTCCCTGTCAGAATCACAAGACTTCAACCATTCGTGTCAAAAGCGTGTCAAAAACTGTGGCTTCCAAAATTGTCGGTTGTCCAACAGAACGGTCCGAAAACTCCTAAAATCAGCCAGATGTAGAACCAGAGCATAACGCAGCGCTACAATATCGACTGGAATTTGACGTCATGGTGAAGGTCCACTGGTCGGGACGAAAACGATTATTTGTATTCAATACTGATTTCTGGGTTTGAGTATGGCGTTACCACTATATATACACAAAGGTATATTATGAAGCAAGCACCGTTTTGCAGGGATTCATTGGTGGTGTGGGGGTGCCTTTCACAAGGGCATAACCTTGACCTTCTGATGACCAGACAAAATCTAAATGGACAACGCAACATCACTGACTTGTCGTTGTGATTTGCTACCTCAAGAGGCGGTAGCAAATCTACCTTGGCCAGCCAGGGGTCCCGATATATACTAGGCACATAAAGAAACTGTGCATACAAAAATTTAAAATCTAAATTTATCAAACCTGTGTAGACACATAAGGATTTAAACTCAGAGATTAGTGACATGTATCCAACATGCATGCACGTGCCACGTTCCATGACGTCAGTGGGTTCGTCCTTGAGACGTGCAATACGTTGTTGTACGTGCATTCCGGGAAAGAGAAACAGAGCAAATGAATGCCACACAATACTGTCACTTTGGAAAGCTCAACCCCTGCCCTTGCGATCGTTCAAAAAATTAAACGGCTTTTGAAACGCATAGCATGCCAAGGCTCACGTCTGCATAACGTCATGAGGCCATTGGGATGGTCCAGTGGCACATTTCCACTGCCACCGGAACACCATTTCTGCACTGGTGAGACGCTACCAGAACACAAATGACGTCACCAATCGGCCACGTTCTGGACGTCCACGTGTGACAACGCCAAGACAGGACAGATGGATAAGGGTGCCCCATCTTCGCCACAGGTTTCAGACTGCAGTGATGATTGCCCGAACCATCCCAAGGCTTCGCCGTATCCACCCCAACACAGTTCGACAACGTTTACGTCATCACGGGATCAGACCACGACGTCCCGCCATACGGCCTCTCCTGACACAACGTCATCAACAAGTTCGCCGAATGTGGGGCCGACATCACGTCCGCAGACCCTTGTGTTGGTGGAGAATTGTTGTTTTTACAGATGAGTCCAGGTTTAACATTTCCCATAGTGATGGACGTCAACGTGCCTATAGACGCGTGGGAGAACGTTATGCACAGGCCTGTGTCTTGGAGAGGAATCGCTTTGGTGTTGGTTCCGTGATGATTTGGGGTAGAATAACAGCACGTCAAAGAACTCCTTTGGTGATTGTTCAGGGCAACTTAACTGGTGTGGGCTACAGGGATCAGATTCTTCGACCTGTGGCAATTCCTTTTCTGCAACGTCATGGCCCTGGGTTAACCTTCCAACAGGACAATGCCCGCCCTCATACGGCAAGGGTTGCTATGGATTTCTTGCAACACCACAACGCTGACTTACTGCCTTGGCCTGCAAATTCACCGGATCTCTCCCCGATAGAGCATGTTTGGGACGAGATGGATCGACGTCTACGCTGTCTTCCTCATCCGCCATATAACGTCCTTGACCTTGCAACAGAACTTGAGAGAATCTGGCGTGTCATCCCACAAGCCTTCATTGCACGTTTAATAGGCTCTATGCGTCGTCGATACACTGCTGTTCTCAATGCCGATGGTGGACATACCCGTTATTGAGCTTGTGACATGGTCGTTTGACCCCTGTCCCGCTTGTGGACTCGTGACGTCATTGTAATTGACTTTTCAATTGAAATTCTCCCGAATTGTTATGGTCTCATGATCCCTCCATTAAAGTTTATATGTACCTTTGACATTGTTATCGTACTTATCAACTGATATAATATTTTGACAATGCACAGTTGCTTTATGTGGCTAGTGTATACCCCATAGTTTTGTGACAATATAGGTTGCAGAATATGCGAGGGAGATCCTCCAGTACAAACCCTTGATGTATTGGGACAAGCCCTCAATCAAGAATGGAGCGCAACACCTGAACGGAAATGCAACGTCGGATACAGTCAATGAGGAGGAGGGTCAAGGATGTTATTGCAGTTGGCGGAGGTTACGCCAGATATTGACGTTATGCTCCGTTATTGATACTTATGGGATTTCTTGAGGAGTGAATGTCAGAATCATGAAAATGACCTCATTTGTCAACGTCATACGGTCACAGTTATCAGAACTATACATTTTTGCCATGTTTGCTTTTCTTTTGGTTTTGGATTTGCCATGTAATTATTCTTTGGGGGTCAATTTATCCAGAGAGTAAGTTAAATTCCTTCGGTTCCTTTGCTATAGTTGATAGCACATGATACTATGGAAAATATGAGGTGTTGCGATATTTTTTTCCATGTGTATATAACCATTTGCAACAACACCACGGCGGATTAGATCGATGCTTATACAATCGATCACCGGTTTGTAGTATCAATGACCGTCACCCCGCAGGCATGTTTTGAAGCTGATAACAGAAAGATGTTTTAACACAATCAGCCTCACACAACCTGTGGGCCTTTATCCGTTCTGTGTAATAAAACAAACTTGGAACGCAGATTCCCCATCGATACCATGAGAAACACATCCCAATCGTGTTATCGCCACAGAAATGATGACTTTTTGAGCTAACTCAAATATCTGCCTCCGTGCTCAGGCAATCAGCAGTCATTACAAACAGGCGTTTGGTGCTGATTGAAATAGCGGCAAATGTCTCATTTTGGGCGTGTAATAAATTCATCTCGCGTAGCCTCAGCCCTGTGCTTTACAGATGTAAACATGCCTGTCTGTTGTGTCAGCCACAAGAAACTGGCATCTGTCAATATAGGTGTCAATCACCAGTGAAAGATCGTTTGTACGTTGCAGAGATGAAAACTATTAAAGTGTATCTATTTGATCGTTCAATCTTTCACTTACCTTTTATTTCATTTTCGTAATTTCTGCCGGGCAAGAGAATGTATACTCTAGAAATTTGGATTTGACCCCAAAATTCCAAATAACTATACGTTGCCAACAAATAACGATTCCTTGTTTGTTTCAGTTGTAGCCGCCACCAAGCAATATATGCACCAATATATTCATGGTTCTATGTTTTCATTTAATCTGCCAGAAGGGACTGAGTTCGAATCCCACATTCACCCTGTTTAATCTGTTGGTGTGATATCACGATTTAAAAAAAAAGGCAAACTTCTAAGTCTGCATCCTTTCTGTCTTTCCAAAGACGTACGTCTTTGGTCTTTCTTAACACGATAATCTGACTTACCGTTACTTAACTCAATTCGTTATACCGAACCAGCACTCATTTGGGGACGGTGGGACAGCCTAATATTTACCGCACCACTCATTCGTCGAGCAGAAAGTCCATGTTCAATTCCCGACCTATGTGTAAAGACACCCCTTTAGTTTCTCTTGTCGCAAAATGTCTGGAATTATGCTTAAAGAAAGGTACACTACACGATGTTCAGTCATTTATACTTCTAAAAAATGCTTAAAGAATACCTGATTGTTTTCATGTTACTGGATATAACCTATAAAGCTATCCGATTCGGATGTTCTTCCATTTGAGGAGCATATACCATGGCAGCGAGTGAGTGAAGTTTGTTTTACACCGCTGGCAGCAATATTCCAGGAATGTCGCGGTGAACCTCAGAAATAGGCGTCATCATTGTAGGACTCGAACCCGGGCCTTCGGCGTGACAGAGCGTGACACTTTAACAACTACTCGACCCCACCACGCCAAATACCATGACAGAAAATATTGTATATTAAAGTATAGAACAATATTGATATTGAAGGATTTGATTTCTTAATCTTCTTTTGAGTGGGTGAGTGAGTGAGTTTAGTTTTACGCCGCACTCACCAATATTCCAGCTATATGGTGGCGGTCTGTAAATAATTGAGTCTGGGCCAGATTCTTCTTTTGAGTAGATACCTTCCATCCCTTCATGACTGATCTAGTATAATGTGTAGATGGTAACATGTAAAGGATGTAATCAATGTAAAATGATTTGTTTCGTATTCACGATGTTTTTGTTATCTTTATCGTTCCTGGGGCACCTGTAGCTAGACTGTTGAACACGTCGTGTTCGACTTTGGTGGGTACATTTCTTCCGTGACCTACCACCCTTTGGCGTCATTTAGACAGATCTGAGCTTTTATCCACATAGATGAGCTTCTGTAGCCACGTACGTGACATTCACACGTGTATGCAAGTATGCGTATGTTACAACACCAATTTCACCTCTTCACCTCCTCCAAACAAGTTCATCGTTACTGGTGACATTTGGCAAATATC